ATCACAAAATCAGGAGGATCAACAAAAATTTCTATTTTAAATCTTCTTATCTGGTTTACAACATAATTAGACAAGTTAAAGATTACAAAATCAGGAGGATCAACAAAACTTTCTATTTTAAATCTTCTTATCTGGTTTACAACATAATAAGACAAGTTAAAGATTACAAAATCAGGAGGATCAACAAAACTTTCTATTTTAAATCTTCTTATCTGGTTTACAACATAATAAGACAAGTTAAAGATCACATAATCAGGAGGATCAACAATAATTTCTATTTTAAATCTTCTTATCTGGTTTAATTTTTCTAAATTATTCTTTCCAATTTTGTTATTTAGTGATTCATACAGTTGATGATCTAATTTACTAATTTGTTATTTCAATATTCAATATATTTTTTCTAGTTGTCGTAATACATTGAATTGCTGGTCAAACAATAGTTAATATTTACAAATTGGAAGTCGTTTGTTCCTAAGCGCAAAGCTACACAATGAGCTATCTATGATGTGCCCTTTACGGGTATCAAAACACGGTTTTTAACGTCAAAAGTCTTCAAACTTACCGCTGAACCAAAGCTAACATTTCAAATCAAGACGTCAAATGACACCCTTTAGAAAAATAGGACCATGACACATAAGAACCAGCTTTCTGCCCTACTATGTTTTCTTATTGCCTAGTTTGACAAAGTTATAAGTGTTTTATGACGTCCAAAATTGAGTTATAGAAACCAAAGTCATTTATACTAATATTTCGTAGTGGATACGGTACCATTTTATTAAATCGAACGTATAATTTAGGACTGCAATATATATATAAACAAATACTTTAATTACTCTATAGTACTAAAGTATTAGGACCGCACACCTTGTGTTTTACCCTTGTGGCCCTAAATTAATAAGTGGACCCACCATTGGCATTAATTATAACCTGTTATTAGCATTTTCCACACATCATTCTTCAACATTTGATGCAACAAATGCATCATTCACTTTAGTAAGCCTTCAGAATCTTTCTTTTCTGTTCCTCAGAGTTTCAAAATATTCCAAAACAATTACGGCTGTGATGAATAGCTCATAGGCTGCAGCCGTTCTTCTATCTATTAACTCTTGTATTTTCTTCCTTTCCAGCATTTCACGGGCACGGTCAGGGCATTTTATTATACGCCCTGGCTGTGAAAGTGGGTTTTCTCGGGGAACTTCCGTTTCCCCTCACAGCAAAATTCTTCCAAGCCTTTGGATCCTATGATCTCAACCCGCCCAGATCAGCCGTCGTTTGTTGGAGTAATTGTCGAAAATCGCCTAACTCTTGGTCACGCCTTGTCTTCACTTTTGCCTCCCAAGATTCAGTCTCTTTTTGTTTATTTTTCTCATCATGTTGTCATTATCCTTCCCACGTGCGGAGCGAAAGACGATTTTGTTATCCTTGAAAACCCCGGGAACTAATTACTTCGATGTTCTCTCGAATATTCATTTAATTGGTCCTTCCCAAATATCTACCGCTATGCCAGTCATGATATCTAGTATCTTAAAACTTTCTGTTCATAGTGAACGTGCTGGCCTACAAATTTTAAATTTCATTAGAATTTTGGGTGATGGATTTATTGCCACAACTAATTTGAGTCAAAGTGTGATTCTGCATTAACATATTCGGTGGATTTGTGTATAAGAAGACAAAAGGAAATGTATTTGACACTTACACCGACAATGGTGAATCTAATAAGTATTCATTGCAAATTCAAAGGTGACTGGTTTATTAGTGCTGAGGATGTGGTTATTATTTCGTACATATTTTTTTGTCATATTTAAAATTTGATATTTTGGCAAAAATATTGTTCGTTCGGAAGCATACTCGAGAGTACTCAACCGATGACACAATGCAATTCAATCTTTTTTACATAAAAGCATAAAAAAAGGTATATTCAAGTAGCTATACTAATGGCCAGGTTTATTGTTATTTTCATTCTAATTACAGAGCTTACTCTGATCGGAAGTTACTATTATTATTATGACTCCTCTAAATATTATTTTACTACCTTTCTGCAAAAACATCACTAATTAAATTTTATCTTAGTTTCTGAAAACATGACATACTCTTACGCACACCTGAAATGTTTTGTTCATGCTTTAGAAAGTTTGTTTGTAATTAAGCACAAAGCTACACAATGGGCTATCTGTGCTCTGCCCACCACGGGTATCGAAACCAGGATTCTAGCGTTGTAAGTCAGCAGACATACCGCTGTGTCACTGGGGGGGGGGGGCACTTTAGAAAGGACAATCCATTCTTATTCCTTATTCTTTAGTTTTCTCTAATATTTGTTGTTATTTTATTCTTTTCTTTGAATTACTGAAAATATAACTTATTTCTGCTTCGTTAATCATTTTTGCTACAATCTTTTTTTTTTAATTTATTGGTGGCTAAGAGTGTTGCGTGCTTGTTCCAAAATTTCTCGGATAAAGGGGATTATTTTTATGGGTCAAACACAGTTGTAAAATGCCTAATAAAATCTATAAAAAAGGGGTGGGGAACTATAAATCGTCTCTAGATATTGAAAATATGGGTTCATTACCCTATAATGAAGGTGTGATACCGAGATTCCTAAAGCCTGAGAGTTTAATATACTTAACACCCTACATCTGAGAATATTACCCTACAAGTCCTTAGATGGGGGGTATAATTTTTTTCTAAATGTAAAACAAGCACTTATACCTCGCTACGTAAAGTAAATAAAATGTCCGGACATTTTCTTTAATATTCTAGAAATATGGATTAATACTAGCCACATTACTACCTTTTCAATTTTCTTGAAATACGATTAATTATTACTTTATTTGATCTTTGAGTAATATGATTCACTCTTGATACCATAAATTGAATTTCTAGAAATATTAATCACTCACCTAACTTTTGTTTCGAGAAACGTAGGATGCATTTGTTTAATTTTTTGTGGAAACATAATTCAGTTCTGTGATATCTTCTTTAAAAAAACTGTGACCATTTTCATGGTTTTCTTTATTTTTTGTTAACATATGAACCAATTCGGAGATTCTTCCTTTCATCACTTTCGAACTACGACTCACTCCAATCATCATATGCTTTAATTACATGGAAGAGTTATTTATTCTTATCATTCCGTCCCTGTTTATCTAGAAAATGTATTCAAAACTCTAATTTCTGGAAACATGGTCAATTCTTAAAAGGTTACATTTATTACTATCTCTGGATGATTACTTTCATCAGCTGCTTTTCCTTTAAATTTCCTAGAAATATAAACCAATTTGGTCATTACTCTATTTACTCAAAATATTTCAAACGGCCTTAGACTCGTATATACACTTTCTTACATACACGTTTTATAAGCACTGTGATACATATACAAGTTTTATAAATACCGAGGAACATATGCAAGATGTATGAGAATAAATGGCCACATTCAAGGTAACACCTCCACATTCTATAATTCTAGGACTTAAAAGAGTAGAAGACCATGTCTAGGTGTAAAGTCATAACAATACATTCAGGTTTTATAAACATCGAGGAACACAACCAGGTTTCGTAAATATAAAGGAATACATCGAGATTTTACGTGTGTAACGAAACGTATCCGGTTTTATATAGAAGAATACATCCAGATAATATTTTAACAATATTTGAGTTGACAAATACTGCAATACATATCCAATAAAAGTACATTCTATATAAAGAAACTCGTACGTTGTTATAAACACAGAGTGGCATATACACTCAACACTTGTGTGTTCAAAGAAACAAACCAATCCAGGCTTATAAGCATAATAAAACAGATGTAGATCTTAAATGTATAACAACCACATGATGTTCTACATATACAGGGAAATGCACCCAGGCTTTGCAAGTGTAGAAAAACACATCCACTATTTATATCTACTGAAGAACACACTCAGGTTATATTAACACAGAGAAACACAATCATGTTTTGTGGGCACATAGAAACATATTTGAGGAACATACCAGACTTTATAGGTGTTCATGAACAATCAGTTTTTAGTAAAAATATAGAGAAATATGTACGCGTTTTATAGTCAAGTAAAACTAAATTCAAAATTTATAGCATAGAGAAACATATTCAATGTTTAAGTAAGTAAGCAGGTTAACGAATCATACAATTACCATACACCTGATCTTTATTTAGTGGTCCTCCAGTCATTATATTCTACCAGTAGGTCTTGTAATAATTTATTAGCCGAATATATATGTATTATGAAGTGTTTTTGACATGATTGTCGTTGTCTTTAAGCAACAATCTAACCATTGTTTTTGTTTTTATGATAAAATTTTCTTTTAACTTTATCGTTGTTTTATATTTGTTAAAAATTCTATATTTATAAGTGGGAATCATTCTGATTTTCAGTAGTTTAAAATATTACTTTGATTTGTTATTATTATTCGTGCTTATACCTTATATGTGATTAGCAAACTTGTCCCCTGGTGTAGCAGTGGTAAGTTATCGGATTTACAAGCGATAACTAAGACGTTAAAAATTTAAAACCTAATAAAATTATTTCTGATAGCCGCTTATAAGGTTTTGTTAAATATTCTATAACATAAGACATTACTTATTATATGTCAGTCTTATACATTACTTTTTCATTATACCCAACGTAAAAGTGGTTTACGTTGAGATATACAAAACACATCTAGTTCTTCACGATAAACCCTAGGCAAGTTAGTATATGCTCCAATGTACATTTATTAACACTATAATATTTTTTTATGAATTTTGTTTTGTTCTTACTTCTGATAAGTGACATTTACAAAGTTGCTAAACATAAAATCTTTTGTACACAGCTTATGAAAATTATTTGGATATGTATGTAATTTTAATTTCTATAAAAATTAAGGAGTATCTTGACCTTTGGTTCAATTACTGCGAAAGTGTATTACATCAATAATAATATAAGGTAAAGTTTAATAAAAGAATTTACAATCTTAATTTTCTCTGTTTCTTTTTTTTTCGTTTTCAGTTCCTCACTCAAACAGAACATTGGAGAAGAACAATTACAACTGGAGTTTCATAGCAGAGGGAACAAATGTCAATGTCCAAGAGAAAATAATTCAGAGTTGGGTGTAAGTCTAGATCGGGATCCAGCGGAAAATGAACTTATGAACCCTGCTTTACGTTATCAGCGTACGTTTATAGAGCCAATTATGGTTCAAATAAAGATTCAAAGTGGACACAATCCGTGTTTTCGTTTTGGGGAATTCGACAAGAAAAAATGGTCAAAACTCACAAGAGGACAGCGGCCATGCTGTAGGGTGAACTGTTCTAGAGACTTTGTTAGTGATGATTGTGGGTATATGAGAATAACTCCTATATGTGAAGGTACGTCAACAAAATCGTCCTTAACTTCTCACTCTCTCCCTGAATCCCGTTGTCTAGGAAACGCATTCAACAATTACTCACCAGATGTCCTCTCTAAAGGAGACTCATCCTTTACGCACCATTCATAATTTATTACTCTCCTGACTTTCGAATTCGCGATTAAAAACAAATTTTCTTAAATGTATTAAGACGTCAAAACTACCCTAACCATTACACTCAGCTGAAAAGTTTCAACCATTTATTACCAGTTAAATCGTCCTGGTCACAAATCCTAGTTTCTCGTCATTATCAGAATTCTCACATCACATCTTCACTTAAAAAGCCTTTAATCTTTAGAGAATGCGATTATTTAACTCTTACCTAAAAGCTCCTGATTAACAAAATATGTCTATGTAAAAACCAACAACTAGGGTCCGTTTTTCTGGACTATTCAGATATTCACCAACATTCTCAATTTTCAAAGATAACTCCAGTTGAAATTTTTCCATATCACCTTCTCATTTCTCTTGAATATTCACTGTAACCCACAGATAAATATTAAAACACTTTATTTACGTAGAATTAAACGCAGTGGCCTATAAATACAGCTTTCCTCGAAAAAACGTCTTAGTTGTTATTATTTGAACGTTTCTACTTTTCGTTATCGATCCAATTTAACCAAATTAATTAACGTCTTTTCTACTTTTCGTTATCTATCCCATTTAACAAAATTAACTAACGTATTTTCTACTTTTCGTTATCTATCCCATTTAAACAAATTAACATATTTTATACTTTTCATTATCTATCACATTTAACCAAATTAATTAACGTCTTTTCTACTTTTCGTTATCTATCCCATTTAACAAAATTAACTAACGTCTTTTATAGATTTCGTTATCTATCCCATTTAAAGAAATTAACGTATTTTATACTTTTCATTATCTATCACATTTAACCAAATTAATTAACGTCTTTTCTACTTTTCGTTATCGATCCAATTTAACCAAATTAATTAACGTCTTTTCTACTTTTCGTTATCTATCCCATTTAAAGAAATTAACGTATTTTATACTTTTCATTATCTATCACATTTAACCAAATTAATTAACGTCTTTTCTACTTTTCGTTATCTATCCCATTTAACCAAATTAATTAACGTCTTTTCTACTTTTCGTTATCTATTCCATTTAACCAAATTAATTAACGTCTTTTCTCTCTGAAAAATAATAAAGAGCTCCATCAATCATCATCACGAAATATTCTAAGAAAATATATTACGCGGTGCTATATATATAGCAGAACCTTAAGTTAAGTTTTACCATCTAAGTGATGTATTTTTGTTTTATTTTTCTTGCTTAAGCACTTAACTAAAGTGAGATATTCGTTCTAACCAAAAGGTATTTTGATGCATTATAAGTAATTACTTATTTAAAGGTTTCCAATTGATCATCTAATGAAACTCAAGCTTGAACATATCACTATTACGAAATGTTATTTCCTGATATTTATTAAATGTATGAAAGTTACGCTTGTGCTAATAGAGAGAAGCTAAGAATAAACACTTGGGCTCTACATTTCCTAATTACTGTACACGAAATTAGCTTTCTTTGTCACTGAGTGTATCACTCCAAACCACTAAATAGCTTATATTTTTATAAGCCATACTTTGAATCCCTTTTGCTTCAAGTTTCGACGTTCGTCATAAATTATACTCTCGTCTGATCAATGAGTCAAGTAAATGGTTGTAAACAGTTCTTCTTTATGTTCGAGTTGTTTCTCAAATATAACTATTAAAATGATTCTGATATTTTAATTTTTCACTGTGTATTGTGTATGCAAAACACCAAGGAGCAATGGCATTCATGTAAAAGTATTTTTGTACAAAATCCTCAAATTCTGAAGTATGAATAGATCTATAAATATACAACACTGAATATCAGAGGCTTGTAATATTATAGCTGACACATTTATAATTGATATTTCTTTGTATTTAAATGATAATATGAAATAAATGTATCTTGCCTAATTGTTATATTTCATTGTCGTGTTTAAAAGAAATTTCATTTACGTATTGTTCCTATCTTCAAACTCAAGGAATTGTTCCTATCTTTTTGGCTTAACATATTCTTATCTTATAGGTTAAAAATAACTGATATTTAAAAACTAAAATTAAGCTATCTAAACGCAAAATGTGAAAGAAATGTATCCCTTCAAACTTTTTTATAAAATATTAGCACAGTATATTTCCCTGAAAATTTCATGAAATATGAAAAATTGAAGCTGTGGCTTTAGAAAATAAAAAAAGAGATCCCTTGTAAACGATGTAATTTTTCCCGAAAGGGGGCCGAAGGGCCACCTGGAGAGGGTCACCTGTTTTAGCAACTCGCACCCTATACAGTGGTTTGTTGTCTGTTAGTCAGTAGACACTAGAATGACTAACATAAGGGACGGTTAATGTTGCAATTTTTACTGTCGTGACATCAGTAAAACGTGCGCATGCCATGAATCACGAGAAGAATTATGCACTCTCTAGGCTACAACACAGAATGACATGTTAAATTCAAAAGCAAGATATAAAAATATTTGTTACTCTTAATTTTGGTTTCATTTACTCTTTCGGGGACCCTGCGCAAGTACATCAGGTTAATAGTTTATTCTTTTGTACGATGTATACTGCTGTAGTACTACAATGTTTGTACGATGTATACTACTGTAGTACTACAATGTTTGTACGATGTATACTGCTGTATCACTAGAATGTTTGTACGATGTATACTGCTGTATCACTAGAATGTTTGTACGATGTATACTGCCGTAGCACTACAATGTTTGTACGATGTATACTGTTGTAGCATTACAATGTTTGTACGATGTATACTGCTGTAGCACTACAATGTTTTCGGTCAATTACTGAAGATTTTTTGTTGTCTTTCAGAAATTGTAGCGCATACTGGAGAGATTTACACATTTTGATAATAAAGGTAGAAAAAAATAATTATGTACTAACCCTGAAGAAGTCGCAAAGGCGAAACGTCAGTTAAAAGTTCTTTCATAATTATCTGGAGTGAAAAGGTCGTTTTTTCTTACTTTATTATTCAAATGTTATAAATACCTCCAGTATGCACTACAGATTCTGAAAAACAACTAATAGTTCATTCCTTGATTAGTGTCGTTATTAACATATTATAATGTAAAAATGTTAAAGATTTCAACACTTTCATTTAAACACTTGATTGTCGACTGTAAAATGATAATACTGGCAATCAATAGGGTAGTGTTATCTGACTTTGACTGCTTTTAAGAATATTAAAATAGTCCAAAGTTTAGGCTGTACCTTTAATTAACATTAAAATATTTATCTGATTTTATTTTTAATTAGTAGGGGTTTATTTTACCTCATATCTATTACATTAGGAGACAAGAGTTGTATTTGATTAGGAGTTTTATCAGCATGCAAGTCCTTTTTCATAAACTAATGTTTATCCAAATTCAATTCATAATAAGAAGGAAAATACTTTAACTGTTTTCAATTTCTGTTAGCATTTAAAGGACTTTCTTGATTTCACTTTTGAATATTTGGTGTTTTAATTGAGTTCAATTTTAAAGATTTCCTGATTAAAAATACAAAGAAGGCAATTTGTTTGTCTAATTTGTATTTTAATTATGGAAAAAGTATTCTATGCGAATTCCATATTAATTAGCAGAAAAGTTTTGTTTGATTTAAGTATTCATTAGCATACAAGTGTCTTGTTAGAATTGAGTATGAATTAACAAATTAGTACCTAAAAGCAGTTATTAAGGATGTGTAGTTAGGATTTTACTTTCCATATTTTTGTTTCCACACGCTAGAAAGGCCTTTCCTGATATAAACAATTTCTAATACAGTGATTTTCTAAGTTTAATTTTAATTACTAAGGAATGGTTTGCTTAATTTCAGTTTTTATTATGAGGTAATTACTGTATATTACTTTAATTATTAGGCAGTGTTTCGCTAGACTTCAGTTATACACTTTGTAATCAGCAAGTGATTGTTTTATCTGATTTGAGATTTAATTATCAGACATATATTTATTTATTCAAAGCTATTGGCCATCCGACAACACTCTTTTTATGTGTTGAATGTCCCATATGTGTCAGAAAACAGAATGTTTCGGGAGTATTTTTATTTACAGAGTAAAAAATCTTTAGATATTTCGACAATTCTAGTAACATTGGATGTAATTTTAGGCACTTTACTGCATTGATTTTATTATTATTCCAGCGTAAATATTTGTCTTCCAAGAAATAGAACAAACTCGTAATTTTTTTTCTGTTAACACTAGTCTCTCGTTTTTCTACCTGTTGCCCCTAGCAACAGCTGAGCTACTCTTCAATAAAATACATATATAGAAAGTTTCCTAATGAAGAAAAATACGTTTATCTCCTCTAGTTCGCAGAAGAGAGTTCAAGACAAAGAAATATTTGTATTTTACGTGATGAAAAGATGGGTAAATTATGATAATGTTAATGAATGCTCGACGATAATGTCAAACACTACTATTGTCGTTGTGTCTGTAAGTACTGAATGAGTTAAGCCTAATCTTGAACGATTTAACTTTGAAATTTTGACTTATCTTCAAGATCGGTAAAATTATTTGGTCACAACATAAAGTGAGGTTATCCTGGAGGAAAATGTGTATGTAAAATTACACTTCCGGTGATAAATTATTTGAAGTTATTTAACTTCGTTTACTGGATATGAACCGATCATTATGAGCAATCCTACAAAATGACATTTGCTTTTTTCAAAATCCACAATTAAACGTAACAAATCTAGAAAAACATAGGGAAGTCTTGGTGTAGTTAAACTTACCTTAATAGTCCTGAGAGACGTAAAAGTGGCTGGATTTTTCAATAAACGTTTTTAATACAGATAAAAATACCGAAACTGAATATTCGTTGCATATTATTCAAATTTCGTTATTGGTGTCGGAGTGTTATATTTCTACGTCTAATCGATTTTTAAAACTCCATGTCTTAAAGTGTTTTCAAGTTTTATTTCAGACATAGGTTGCCGCAATTGTTTCTTTTTTTTTAATCCAGAATATTTTATTGTATTTAACTCCTTTCTGCTAATTAAAGGAGAGAAATACATTTTTATTCATCA